AAAAAAAAAAAAAAAAAAACCATGGTAAAATTCAAGTGGCTAGTTTTTCTCATGGGCATCCATGGAATATACTTAATTAGTGCATTATCCGACAGTGGTGATTAAGAAAGTCAGAAAGGTCACCTGTGTAGCCAAAAACATTTAATTTAACTATTATTCATGTTGTACATTGAATATACACATATGTAAAAATACACATGAATGTATTTTGATTGATTGGCTCAGTTACATGTTCAGAAAATTATCAACAAATAATGGACAAATATTGAATATTAATTTATGAATCTACCAAAATCCTTATTGACTGAATTTGTGACAATTCAGATGAAATAATTTAGTTTTAGAAGCCACAATTATTAGAATTAATAGGAGGTTATAAATGGCAGCAAGTACCTGGACTGACTTAATTCTTTGGCTATTTCAGTAGACAAGTATATGACACATAAATGGCTATTTTTTTTTTTTTTAGTTTTCTTTTAAAATATTTTCATTTATTTTTAAAATTTAAAAACTTTATACAATTTTTAAAGGTTACACTCCATTTACAGTTATTACAAAATACTGGCTATTCCCCGTGTAGTACAATACATCCTTGTAGCCTATCTTACACCCAATAGTTTATACTTCCCACTCCCCCATCCCTATACTGCCCCCCCCAACTGATAACTACTAGTTTATTCTCTGTATCTGCAGGTCTGCTGCTTTTTTTGTTATATCCACTAGTTTGTTACATTTTTTAGATTCCACACATGTGATATCATACAGTATTTGTCTTTCTCTATCTAATTTATCTTACTTAGCAGAACGCCCTCCAAGCCCACCCATGTTGCTGCAAATGGCAAAGTTCCGTTTTTTTTTATGGCTAAGATAAATGACTATTTTCTGATATTAAAATATCTTACCATAAAAGTTCTTTTGATCCAGTTCTAGATGAGCTTGATTTTCTGTCTGCCATGGGATGTCCCTTGCTATTTCGATCTCCATGAAACTTAACATCATCCCATTTTTCCAGTTGTGTTTGAATGTCTACTAAGGAGACAAGAAGCGGGTGAGGGGGACGGGGGAGAATACGAGGTGCAGAGAGGAGAAGAGAGATTAAGACTGAGAAGTCTTATACAAGTGAACTTTAATTAACTGATGCTCTTCTACCCCAAGACCAAAGGCCGCAAGAAAATTAATTAAAACATGTACAGCTAAATAAATATGAGACCTATTAAGAGAAATGGGATTGCTTTTACAGTTAAACAATCAAGTATATTTTTTTACCTGAATTTATTTCAAGAGCTGTGTGCATTCTGAATTTTGTGTATGAGCCCATGGGATCTGGTAAAGAATGAACATATGCAGTACTATCCTATGGGCCTCCAGCTAAGAGGTGGTTTTGAGGCATTTCTGGCACATTTCTGGAAAGAAATTCTGTTTAAAGAGATGAGCCTTGTTATTAAAAGGAGGTGGGAAGAAACTGGGACACTTTTTACAGGTTTTGTTATAGACTACCTAATTTTTCACCAAAGAAGGGAATTTATAATGGGGATAGAGAGGAAGGAGGCAATGGAGAAAGTTAGTGTATGCTAGGACCATTGCCTCCCTGTGGCTTAATTCTTACAAAGAACCTGGCTGGTTCCCTCTCATGAACAGGTGTGTGACTGTGAACAATCCACTTAGACAACCTTAGGGGCCAGTTTTTTCGTTTATAAAAAGGTAGGTTTGCAGTCAGTGTCCTCTAAAGTCGTTTAAACTAAGAATTTTTATGACTTCTTCACAAGGCATTTTCTCAAATGCGGAGAAATGAAAGTATCATTTATGTGTTTATTATATTATATTGCAATGTATTTAACAATATACCCTTATGCACATGTATAAATTTCACTTATTGAAATGGAATAAACCTAGAGCACATGGATGATGAGGAAATAATTATAAAATTTTCCTCCAGAGAGACAGGCCTCAAAAAGTGACGTGGCAGAGGAGCGCAGATCCTGTGTGTGCAACCAGTTTGAGCAGTGTGCTGGTTCTCTTCCCTTTCTCTATGATCTATCCTTGGTGAGCTCATCTACACCCGTGACTGTGATGGCTATTCATAGGCTTCTGACTTTCAAATCTCTATTTCCTGCTTGGTTCTCTTTCCTGAGTTCTAGATTTACACATTTAACAGTCCATTGGACATCTCTGCAGAGAAGCTCCACAGTTTCCTCATATATAACAGGTTCAAAACTGAACTTGACAATTTCCACCTTGACATCCCCCCACACGCCGCCGCCTTCTCCTCTTGTACCCTCATCACGGAGTTTGGCACATTCTATATCTGTTCCTTGCTGGCATGCATATATCTACCCAGTCCACAAGTCTTGTTTTTATTTATTTATTTTTGAACCCGTCTGCCTCTCACTATCCCCTCTGTCACTCTCTTACATGCCTGTATTGTCTCCCTGCCTCCATTCCTTTCTCCACACATCCAGAAGAGAAAAATTTTTCTAAAATAGAATCTGTTGATGTCACTCCTCTGAGTAAAAACCCTTCAACCCTGCCCTCCCCCCAAACTTAACGGCCTGGCATCCAAGAACTCCCATTATCTGACCCCTGGTGATGCTCAGATTTATTTCTCAGTACTCTACCGTCCTTGAATACTGTAGCAGTGCTTGTATTTGCTTGAAAAGGCACCTTTCTGTGTTTGTCTACTTGTGTGTGACTCCCTTTCTCTTCTGCATCAGGAAGGCCCTGCCCCTTCCTTCCCACCTCTCTCTGATCCATATTTTTCATCTGGCAAATTCTTACTCAACCTTCAAGACTGCTCATATAGTACCTCCTATAAGGCACCTTCTATAACCCCCTGGCTGGGTGAGGGGCTTAACCTGGGCTTTTCTTTATTGCAGCACATAGTACATATTTTATTATAATTATTTTAATCATTTTTCTATCTCTCCACTAGACTATAAACTTACTAAGGGGCAGAAAGCTTATATTATTTATCTTTGCATTTCCAGCACATAGTATGGAACACAACAGATATTTAGAGAAATGTTTACTGAACAAATGAATAAATTAATTCATGGCCATCTAACATGTATATATCACAGTGCTAAGCGATTTTACATATATGCATATCCCCTTTAACCTTTGTAACTTTATGGATAAGTTACTAATATGCTCATTTTATGGATACTTACCCATCCATGTTTCCCTTGGCTTTCTGAAATAACTGTTAGCTTTCTTTCTCTTAAGCAAGGGGAGCTTAATTGACTGGTTCCATGATCTGAGGTTAAGGTCTCCTTTCTCAGGAAGATGTACAGTGAAGAGAAGTGCAGGCTTTGAAGTTAATTAGAGCTTGGCTCAAATTCCAGCTCTTCCTCATACTAACTAGGATCTTGGGCAAGTTATTTAAATTTGAAAATTTGGTTCCTCATTCATTTCAAAGAGTTGTGATGAATTAACAGGCTAATATATGTAAATCATGTAGCACAGTTCTGGACATTGTAAGTCATCAGTGAATGGCAGCTGTTATTATTGTGTTGGACGTATCCCCACACATGTTACATGTTATTGTTCCTTCTGGCTGTTCCCAGACATTGGGTTAGAGTTATCTCTTTCTAGACTCTCTTCCCCTCTAGACTGAATGCTCCTAGAGAACAAGATTCGTGTCTTATTTTTATTGTAACTCCAGTGCCTAGTGTGGTACCTGCCATCTATCAGAAACTCAATACACATGGGTTGTATAAATAAATGTATAAATCCACACCAGTTCTGCAAAGTTGAGCTCCCCAACTGCTATTTAATCTAAGCACAAAGAAGTGTGTCCTGTCCAGTTTCCTACATAGAATTAATCTTTTCTACTGCTTTGTCCATGGTTTTAATGTCATTTGTAGAACTTCCTTGTTGTATTTAGCACGAGTGAACAGCAGCAGACACGAGCTATTGCCTTACCTAAGTCTAGGGATGCCATCTCTAAGTTTCGGAGAGCCTGGCCTCTCTGCTCAGCATCCGCACTGATGAGGTCAGGCCCATCAGCCTTTTTCTTGAGGGATGAGGTTTTCGATGAGGCCTCCAACTTCTTGGCTTTGGTTTGGGTTTGAGAGATGGGTTCACTCAGGTCAAGGAGATCTAAACCTGTGGTCAATACTATCAAAGATGGAAGAGGTTAAGAGAAGCTCACTCACTGCTCTGAAATTATTTTTTAAAAATAGGTTTCAGTTGGGTGCAGAAGGATTTTGTGTTTGTAGTGTAGGTTAGAAGAACCAAATTAAGTTAGCTCACCACTGATTTATAAAAATAGTTTGTATTTAGACTGGGAAGCTTGCTGCATGTCCTGCTTTATTTGTCATGGCAGAAATCTGCAGAACAGGACTTAGACCAGCCTCACCAGTGATGAAGGTTTGAACGGAATTAAAATGATAAAATTGAATCTGAGTCCAGGTACTATTTACTTTATGGCTTTGCTTTATAAAGAGGTTTATTTCAGAGTGCAGTTTTTCCAGAGCAGAGTCAATCTATCATATTCAGAGAGATGCTTGCAAAACAGTGATGAGGAAGATTTGGTAAGGTTTCTGAATGTATCTGTGCTTTAATTTCAAACTACTAAAGTATCCAGGGTATAAAGGAATGCTGTTAATAATCTTTTATTTAATTAAGCAGTTCAATCAGAAAACGGCTTGCTGTTTGGGCTCACACTAGAGAGGTATTTTATAATCCATAGTTAATGAATAGGGTACACATGTATAATGCCTTTGGTGCTTAATATGCAAATTTAAATTTCAGTGTAGCAAACCATAAAATGGTTACACTTTTACTTCCCAGCAGGTTGATTACACTGTGTTAAATACTCTAATGAAAGCAGAAATAATAATTTGTTCAAATGCAAACTAGGCAAATGAGAACTAAAAAGGCAAGCTCTGTAACCCTTCATTCTTCTTTCTCGTAAGTGCAAGTGTTTGACTAGCTCATTGTGAGAAATGGAAAATTCCTAATAGAAAAAGTCCCTCCAGCCCTACCTCTCTTTCAGCCCTGGCACCTGGGGGGCTGGCTTCTGAACGGGCCTGATGGCTTCCTGACCTACCGTCTCTTCACCCGGCTAGCTTAGGAAAGCCACTCAAGTGACAGGGACACTCCTTGTGCAAACCCTTCCCAGCACAGTCTACAACCGCCGCACCTCTCCTTCTCCTCTTTGATCTCCCGGCTTGTCTCTTGGTAGGAAATGGATTGTTGTTGACATCTCAACACTCTTCCATCTATTTCCCACTTGCATTCAAGGCAGGGTCAGGGCTTAATGAATTTCACAACCAGGATTTCTTTAATACTGAACTTTGAGCTCCTCATGAGCTAACCATCCTGTGGGATTCTTAGGATAGAATCTTTACGCTCAGCAATCTTGCTTTCTGATTTCAGTTACAAATGACAACAGTTGGATGTTAATGGTGAAGTGGAAAGACCTGGCTCTACCACCGCTTAGCTGTGTGACTTGAAGTATGCTTCTTGACCTCTCTGAGTTTCAGTGTCCTCATCTGAAAAATGCAGAATTAAGTCTGTCCTTTAGGTATGATATGAAGATTAAATTATCTAATCTGTAAGTCAAATGTGTAAAGCGCCAGGTATACTGTAGGTATTCAATAAATGTTATTTCCATTCTTTGGTGGCCAATTTGTGATGCTTTTCTTTCCTTTTCCTTTTTCTCGCTCTCCTATTTTCCCCACTCCTCTCTGTTTCAGGCAAGAATCAGATCCATACACCGACAGAAAGAGGAAACACCACCGGGAATAAAATGGAGGATAAGACAAGATATTGGTTCTACAGAAGATGCTATGAAGTAAATTTTTCATAAAAAGGCCTGAAAGTGTCATCTCATCTGAGCTTATCTTGTCCCAGTCTTCCTGAGGAGACAAGAACCACTTTTCAATGCAAGATGCTCTGAGCTATGAGGAGTATTTTGTGGCTGGCAAGCACTTGAATGTGGGGGGGAAAGAGTAGCTTTCAGAGCTCAGCTGCCTGGCTTGATGTCTAAAATGTAGCGCAGCAAGCAGCCAAGGTAGGCTAGGATGCCACACATTTCATATCCTTTGAATGTTTAAATGGAAATTTCCAGGCCACAGTTGTGTTGGCATGGGTTCTATAGGCCCACCGGGATTTCCTTATAACAGAAGGAAGGAAGTGGATAACAGTCTCTGGAATGCCATATATGTCTTTTTACTAATTGCGCAAACAATTAAGAATTAGTCACTTGCTCCTACACTTCTTTTAGAAACAAATTACATAGGACTCATCTGCTTGCATATAGGAAGTACATTTGTTACAGAATAATAACTGATGAGTATTAATTTAATTCTATATCTTTCTTACCATTCAGAATAAATGAATTGCTCAAAGAGTGAATTGCGAATTCAAACTTGGCTCAGTAACGTTTTTTCCCCTCCAAACTGTCCTCAGCACTTCCTGAGTTTGTTCTGAGCTCTCTGTTCCTTTGTTCTTTTCCCAGCAAATGTGAAACAACTGCTCGGCACAGACGAAAGGCCCTATTTGTTATAGTTGATGAAGGGGGTGCCCTGGAGGTTGAATGGCAAGCTTGAAGCTGAGAGAGTCCCTGGGGAACACAATTTCAAAAGCATAGAAGGATGTGTTCAGCCTTTCACTTTGTGAAGAAAGACAAATCTCATTTTAGTGTGTGGGTGTGTGTGTGTGTGCGCGTGCGTGTGGTGTGCACTTTAGTTAAGATAAAAATAAAGGGTCTGACTGTTCCATATGGGGTTTGAAGATAGCATAGCTTAGCATGGAAGGGGGTGTCTGCTCTACTGATTTTCTTAATCTGATTTTAAGGATTCTCTTAGGCACATGAAGGTTTGTGTCCCAGAATTTGTGTTTAAATTAAAATAATCATCTGTTATAGTGGAAGTGAAATTGTGTGTGTACAATTGTGTGAGAGAGACAGAGAGAGAGTGAGAGAGAGAGAGAGGAGAGAAGGAAAGAGAGTGACGAAGATGCTATGCTGTTGGCTTTGAAGATAGAATATGGGGCCACAAACCAAGGAATTCTAGGTACCATGGAAAAGGCAAGGAAATGAATTCTCCTTTAGAGCCTCCAGAAGGAATGCAGCCCTCCCGACACCTTGATTTTTAGGACAGCTGAGTTCCAGAATTGTAGGATAATAAATTTGTGTTGTTTTAAGCCACTGAATTTGTGGCAATTTGTTACAGCAGCAATAGGAAAATAATATAGCTGGTAGGTCAGTGTCCATAGAGGATTCAAACACAGTCCGATCACCCCCAAGCCTGTGCTCTTCACCATTTCTCTCTAGACTTTATGTGAACTTGGAAGCAATGTGCTGACCCTGTTGATGCGGCTTTGATTATTTTTTGCTTAGCTACCAATTATTTGCCAGTTTGGGTAGTCTGAGGCATAATTTAAATAGTTGGCAATCTCAAAAACTTTTTTTTTTTTTTGATAACAATTCCACTGGGTGGAATTTCCTAAAGATAGAAGATGCAATACGTTATATAAGTATTTGTTTTTATCTCTCTCAAGGACACATGATTGAAGATCACAACCTATTGAACTGGAAGGCTCCCACAGGGCACTGAAGATGTTTATGAATACTAGATTACTTGGGCCCTAGGAGGTGAGGCTGCTTAGAACAGTTAGGATAAGGTAGAACCTATTACGAAGCACTGATTTGATACTTTAATGGCAAGTACAATGCTATTAACACCACTACTGTATAATGAGTCTCAGATTTTCAGTGACTTTCTCTAAAGGAATAAATCTACAAGGAGTGGTCAGAGAGGACAGACCATGGACAGCCCTGACTGGGGCAGTCACAGAATGTGCTGCAAGGAGCTGATGGGATCTCTGTTCTGATTTGTAAGCTACTCTGGCATTCCAGAAAACATGGAATTCTTTAATACAATGCTTACAAAGCAAACTCCTTTAGGAAGGATTTTGCCAGTGATGTCAAGTAGATAAACTGGACTTAAATAACTCAACCAACTTTCACCCTTTTATTGGAATACATAATTAAAGCTGCTTCCCAAATTTCTAAGTTCTCTAAAGTGGCATGCCATTGCGTTCATGGCTATTTGGGTTTTATAAAAATGTATTTGGAAAAATTACACTAATTCTGCAGTTAAGATATTTAATTAGGTGGCTGTGATGGCATTGTGAACTTTGTTAAGGATATCTTTTCCCTTATATATAGGGGTCTCTTTGATAGGTATACAGGTCCCATACCAAGGAGTGATACTCTTATTTTTTAAATCTTGAAAAATGTTTCTATAGTAACTGTCCACTTAATAGCTCAAGATTATGGATAAATTATTTTTAGATTATGTAGATTGATAAATGTAAACCAAGGACCCCCTATTCTTCTTGCTTTTCAGAAGAGTCTTTCCTGTACTTTGACATATATTATATTTTTTGGAGATTATAGGACAAGAAGTTATTATTGCAAGTTTTATAGTAATTACTTGTCCTATAACATAAGCAGTATCTTAAAAATACCTATTTTCTAGTTACTGTCAGAGCATTTTTTACATGCATCTGTGTATAATATATATTTGCCATTTAAAAATCAAGTGTATTAGCAATCTTGGTCTACCTAACACTTAGGGACACAGTTTAAGAGGGCTGAGGAATTAACTGCCTACCTAGATTACAGATGAATAAGATAATTTAGGATGTTAATGGCAAAAAAACAGAAAACATCCTTATTTGATCAGCTTGAAGTCATCATCACTGGATGACAAAAGTTAATCTTAATGTAGAAAGAAGCAGAAAGTTTAAAAAAAAATGAAATACTTAAGAACAAAATTACAATTTAGAACTTCTATGAGGTAGAAGATTGATATGTTCTTTTAGGGTCAGAGAGAAAAAACCCTGCATTTGACTGACCTTTGGAAGAGATAATTGCTATACTGTTTACTTTGTGTTAAGTTATATAAGAACTATATTCTTTATATATTTAAAGAGTTGTCAAGATGGTGGCACATTGGATTTATTTTTTCATTGGAAGAAAATGCCGAGTATAAAAGCCTCTCATCTTAATACAAGGTTCTTCAAATTTCTATTTGATTGACTTGGTACAACTTAAAGCAGGTTCTGCCCCATATTTTACTCCAAGATTGTTTACTATCCATTCC